AAAGCTGTGGCTTTCTGCTGCTCCTCTCAGGATGTGTGTTTTCGCCTTGAGCCAAAGGCAGTTTTCAGACTCTTTAGTATTCAGCAGGAGTCGTTCTGGCCCCTCTCACTGTGGAGGGGTGAGCAGGTGGACGGTCACATCCTGTATGACGGCAGGCTGAGAGTGATGCTTCATTAGAGAAGATTCTTTTTGTTCCACAGAGTAATTGAGAAGGAATTCGAGGCGGTGATAGTGAAATGCTGGGTGTTTGCTGCAGGCAGAGTGTTCAGTGTTGCAGCTCTGCAGCAGTCAGCTCAGGACCTGGAAGATTAACCACGTTAAAGGCTGCTTTGGATACACTGAGTTCCATTAGCCGTGGCGACCATCTTGGATTTGGTTCCATCCAGAACTCAATGAGTTACAGGGATTACATGGGTCATGAGATAATTTACTGACAAACAGACCGTGTTGATGCTAGTGATATAACCATTCACTCAAGCCCCGATTCAATTATGATTATCTACCATTGCTTTTTCATAAAAACAAATTGTAGCCATTTTATTCATATTTCATATTTCTCTTTTTAACATCAGCACTTTGTCCTTGTATGTCTTAGTAACAGAATATAACTTCATAATTGTTTTGCACTGAAAATGGGCAAATTCTAATTCCTAATGTCCAATTCTGATAGGCAACTGCAGTCTCTAAAACAAGACATATCTTTTTTATTCTTGCACAGTCCTTTACATTATATTTTTATTAGTAGTAGTTGAGACTATCATTGCTAGTTAGTAGGTTTTTTTGTGTGTACTGTTGTCTATAGTTTGTAAAGCAACTAGTGTGTGAACCTCTGTACTGATGCTCAGGGGTGTAGCACCAAATTCTGGGCCCTGTCCACTCTTGATGTCAGTGGGCCTCTATCCATGCCAGTGCATGAGGTGTGTAATAGATCTAATACTTTTATGTTTAAGCAAGTAATTCATGACATCCTTTAATGACCTAGGTTTTCATGACATGCTGTTCATCGAATGATTTAAGTCAGAACAAGATCTGCTAACAACAATAATCATTCTTAGATGGGACTTGTGTTTATCTTTGTGCTTTCCATTGACCTTGTATCAAATCTTGCTAAGATGACAGAATGGTATTTGTTAATATAATATATGAGGCCTCTCAAGACACAGTATTCAACGGTGTACAACAGTGTACAACAGTGGGCACAGTAGTGTGGAGAGACAGTGACAGAGAGAAGCAGAGGCACAGAGACAGGCCAGGTTGTTCTCTGTGTTTCCTGTTGTTGCAACAAAACTCAGCTGATCAGCTCACGGAGTACCTTCATTCTTGGACCACGTATTTCTGTCTTTGTTAAATAAATATTGCCATAACAAGGTGCATAAGCAAAAAAAAAAAAAAAAGGAAGAAAAAAGGGAGTATTTTTTCTTTTAAATAAAGAGGCATAACCAGGGTTTTAAGCTACAATCAGATCATGATCATCAGATATTGATGAGTAGTTCTTTCATTCACCAGCTGAATTGATGTATTTGGCCCACCTTTGGTCAAATACMTAAAACATTATGCTACATCTGGTTTGTGTACTAATGTTGTGATCCATGACACTCGAGCAAATTTTGATTTTAAAACATTTATTTTTGAACTTTAGACAAACATTTGGTACATGACGTGTGCTCAGTTTAACTGTCTGCACACGTCATAAACTGAACAACAAATGTTTATTTTGTGATGCAATAATAGTCAAACCATATTAACTGAGATTATGTTCACCTTTACTAAACCATGTAGTGTATCAGTCCTTTAAACTCACTAAGAATACAGTTTGACAATCAGCCATACAACAGAGACACAGGTGGAGCTCTACAGGGATATTTATCTTCTCTAACAGGGGCATCAGAAAACTTGTAATGTGTGTAAAGGACACACTGGAGGGGGGTCTGGGGGTCCTCCCCCAGAAAATTTTGAATAAAGTAGAGGCTATTTCCTGATTTCTAATGTATTTTAACAGGTTGTTAAATATACTTTTACTTACACAAATAAAGACTTAATTAAGACAACTAGAGACAGATTCTTCATTAAACTAGTTGCATCGTCCTGTTTTTAAAATCTCTTATGGCTCAGATAATTAAATTAATGTGATAAATTATCTCAAACAGGCTTAGAGGAGTTATTTTTTACATTAATTTTGTTTATTATTCATTTAATTTTATTTATAACACAACATATCGTGCCAAACAATGACACACAATTGCATGTTTCAAACTAAAATCATTAATAACTTTATCCAATAAACATGTGTAATTATTATAACAACCAACAGTGAATTTAGGGGGAGTTTGACTTTTTTCTGATTTGATGACAGGCCCACTCATGAACTGACATGACATCATGCAGCTTTCTTCACAACATAAATCAACACTGTGTCAAACAACGGTGATGTAAAAAATAACGTGTCAGTTTCATCAACCTGCATGTAAATTAAGAACAACTGATACATGGATGTTTGGAACTGATTAGAAAGCTAATGATGGATTGATTGACAGATTTATTTACTGAGTTTTATTTAACCAGGAAAATCTGAACTATGAAAACTAATTTCTACAACTTCCTAAAAATGGAAAGTAATAAGCCTATCACTTTTATACTGGTCAAAATAAAATGAAACTGTTAATCATGCTGTAGATTATGTCTTTAGATCAGTAATTTATTACAATTTATTACATTAAGTACATTCAGAATGTCCAATATGGTGTGGACAGTAAAATAAAGTTCATTCTCTCAGTTTATGTTATCAATATATTTGAACAAAATTACTACACCAATTAAGCGAAGGGCCCGTTTCATTTGGGAAAAAATAAATAAATAAAATCAGGACTTCCATGGGCCTCTCTCCCTTCTTGGGCCCTGGGTAGTCAGGTTCACATTTCCCCCCACTTCCAAACCCATGCTGATGCTGCTGTGACACCTGAATTTCCCCTCGGCGGAACAACAAAGGCTATTTCTATTCTATTCTATTCTATTCTATTCTATTCTATTCTATTCTATTCTATTCTATTCTATTCTATTCTAAATACAAATTATATTGTTATAATAATATAAGCCATTCTTTCATTTTTATGAATTGATTTACATTTTAAAAGGGGTGGGGGTTGTTCTGTATTTTCCAGGCACCGTTCAGTTCTATGCAATAATCCAATAACTATGTTACCTTCAGTTGTTATAAAAAGCTGTTTAAATGTGACTTTTCATCATAGTTTATCTAAACGCCATGAAATTGACCTCTGTCTTTATAAGAACTTCCTACCATTTTTCCCACTTCAGTACGTCTTCACAACAATGCTTCAGGGCGAAGGGTGCTCTGTGGGGCTGCAGACGGAGCTCCAGGAGCTTTGTACAAGTAGGCAGAGCTTTGTATGCAGCTCCACATGGCTACCACAGGAGATTCAAGGATTTCTCAAACATGAATGAGTCAAAACAGCTCTGAGTATGTTTATGATGAGGGAATGACATTAAAACATGGCATGAAGATCAAAACATTTGCATAAAAACTCACTTTAAACAGTTATAATCTATTATTAATCCTGGTAACTGTTATGTTCTTGTTACAATTTTGAACAAAGAAGTGACTTCATGTGTTGGGATGCTGCTAAGCTACAATGAGTGGTATTAGTAATTCGTATAACTTTAACTTTAGTATAAAATGTGTAAACCTGGCTGAGCTACAGCCCTTATTGTGTTGGCTAAGGTTGGCTGGCTGTGGCAGCCATCTTGGTCGGCTCCACAGTTATAGACTTATTTGTGTAAGGAGATATTTTACTAACAGATAATACTGTAGTTAATGATGGTCACATTGTGAGATAAAACATTTTACATTCCACTGCTGAAAAACAGCACACAATCAGAGACAAAATGAATATTTTAGATTTAATGGTGTCCAACATAGAGCTGTCCTCTGATTGGTTGATGAGTTTTTAGCTGTTACAGCCATGCGTTAGGAGGCGACAGATCAATAAACTGACAGTAGATCAGTTCCACACACAGAAACAACACCTTATATCCTGTTCAAATTACACGACAGAATGCACCAATGGGAGAGCAGGAGGAAGAGATGGTTGTGTCACTGAGCCAGGAAGATTGTAACACCTTAGCAACAAACAAGCCAAGCCCACCCCCCCCCACCCCCTGCTGAGGAGGAGCCACACAGCTCAGTTATTTGCACACACACACACACACACACACACACACACACACACACACACACACACAC